ATTTCAAGCACACAATTCAATGGTTTTTAGTTTATTCCCAGAGTTGTGCAACCATCACCCCACTAGCTAATTTCATAACATTTTTATCACATCCAGAGAGAAACTCATACCCACTGTCATTTCCCTCTGAGCCCCTGGAAACCGCTCATCTCCTTTCCGTCTTACGGATCTGCCTATTCTAGACATTTCGTATAATTGGAATCATACGATGTGTGGCCTTTTGTGACCAGCTTCTTTCCCTTAACATAGCATTTCCAGGGTTAGTCCATGTGGTAGCATGCACCAGTAATTCATTCCTTTTTATGGCTGAATAATATTCCACTGTGTGGGTAGACCATATCTTGCTTAACTTATTTGTAGAATGAGGCCACTTCTATGGTGTATTGTTAAGCTATAGCTTTATGTTAGGAGAGGTGACTGATACCCCGATATTGGTCCTGCTTCACAGGGACTTCTTGACTACTCATCGAGCTCTGCAGAGTCCTAGACTACAGCTCTGCAGAGAAGGTGTGCTCCCTAACCTGAGCCAGCATCATCCAGCCCCAGTATTCTCCGGGGACCAAGCCAGGTGCCTCTGTGAAGCCCAGAGCTGATCACAGGAGACAAGGCAGCATGAGGCACAGCCCCATGGAAACACCACAGATTCCACCCGCACGGTCACTGGTCCAAAGTAAACCAAAGCAGCAAATGTGTACCATCCTGAAGACATGTCCGACAGGGCCATTTTTAGGTAGGCTTTCTCTATGTCACCAGGCATGGGGAAGTCTAGTCCTTCAGCAAGTCACTATGGGAGGCAAATTAATGACTTGTTTTCTGTGAGGAGTACTGCCAAGTGGATCACGGAGCAGTGTGTGAGTGCAACTGAGTGTGTTTCCCTTTCTGAGGATGGAGAGACCCGACTTCTCATTGTGGGTCTATTACTAACTGGCGCTCAGTAGCCTCATCTGTGTGGGGTGGGCAGTAACTACCTGTTGTGAGGATTACATGTTTGTGAGAATATTCGCAAACATTAAATATATGTAAGAGCACAGTGAGGATGAGGAGATGCAATTGGCTTTCTTCATGGACGAGGGTGACTCTTCTTGCTTTGCGTGTATGTGATACACACAAGCCGAGGGAGGACTTGTCACCAGCCCATCTTTTGCAAATTACATCTTTGGTGGTGACAGAAGAGTTATGTCATACAAGTGCCACGGGGTAACCCATGTGTTTTCTCATTACATGAAACAGGCTTAGCCCCGAACCACACCTGGGCTCTCTGCTTAGGGGTATTTCAATGTAACATGCTTAAAATACCTACAGCAAATGGAAGACAGGGAACAAGGACCTCTGATTTACAGCATAAGTTGGTTTCACGGGAACATCATAAGCCATTGTCCTTGGGCTTTAGGAAAAAAGCAGTTTAAGTCAAAAAGTAAAACAAAGCCACCTTCAGAGAATCAAGGAACAGGATTTGGCTGGATCATGGTGTGATTCTATTTCCTACTCTGCAAGAGTTCAGCAGGAGGGGTCTCAAGAGAGTCTAAATCCTGCCCTTCCCTCCACTGCTTCTAAGTGAACAGATAAAGACAGGACGGCTGTCCCAGGGGGTGTGAATGGACAGGCATTAACTGGGCTGGAGGACTGGCCACGCTACACTGGAGGGCCTCTCTCCTGCTCTGTGCGAGACACAAGCTGTTACTGACATCACTACCCATTCCTCCCGGGCCAGCACACGTGGCAGAGTCAACACCGCGCCACCTAAAGACAGGAAGATGGATTTCCTGGGTGTGGCGACTTGAGGAAGAAGGGAAAGGGAAAGCCTATGAGACCTGAGCAAGAAAAGCGGAGCCCTCCCTTCCTCTCTGGGCAAGAATACAGACAGTCCAACTTCCCTTTGTCTCCGAGAAGAGCTCACCCGGGAAGGCAGATGCCTGCTCAGGGAGGCGCCACCTGCAGAGAGAGCTGAGCTCCCTGGGGAGCCTGCAGATGAGAACATTTGTCTAGAAGGGATCCACAGAGAGCTGAGTAAACACAGAGCCCGGTGGGAGGCGGGGTGCGAATTGTGCAAGAGACCAGAGAGACCAAGCGAAGCCGCCCTTGGCCCACGATGGAGGGATAGGATGTGGGACGGGCCCTTTCCTTCACCCTCGAGATTTCTGTTTCCATTCAACATTGACTTTTTTTTTCCCTTGTGCTGCCTTCATTTTGGAACTGTTTTGTTGCTGCCTTCTTTCTTCACGAGGTCGGCAGGTAGCAACCTCTACCCGGGGAAGGAAGTTTCCTGGAGTCAGAGGTCTCCCAGGACCATCCACCAGAGACTGAAGGGAACTCACATCAAAGGGATGCTCTCTGGGGCCTGTTGACACCTGCAACCTGACCTGCGCCTGAAGTCCCAGGAGCTCCTGCTGAAGCCGAAGGTGCGGGGGTGGGGTGGGGGGGGGACTGCAGAGGTAGAGGTAGAGACAGGCTTGCAGCAAACGAAGTTGCTTCTGGACCTCTTGATTAGGAGGCGGGTCGTAAACAGCCTCAGAACACCCCTGAATTGATAACTTAATTAGCATAAGCTTTGAAAAGTGTGCCATTTACAGTGCGATCTCTCTAAAAAGAGAATCATGTTGCAGAAAACAAAACTGAAAGCAAGCTCGCGCCAGATAACCCTTCAGCGTGAGCACACGCTGTGTGCTGAGCGTTAGCGCCAGTTTCCGGGAAGTCTCGCAGGGAACTGGCGGCCCTGAGCCCTGAGATCCTCTGACACAGGAGGATTGCGGAACCTCGACCCTTACAGCCAGAGAGGCTTGGAAGAGTCAAGTCTTGGGTTTACCCACAGATTTTTAATACTTGTATTTAAGGAAAAACTGAGGCTCAAAGAAGTTGAGAGAGCTGCCCAAGGTCACACAGCTGTGAGCTCCAGAGCCAAGAGTACTCTCTGCTCCCCATCACCTGGGGCCCTTTTCATCAAAAGACATGAAGGCTCTTGTCCCCACCCCTTCAAGCTGATGGGATGGGTAGGGTTTGTGACACTGGGGTTGTTCCCACCTGGCTGCTGTAAACAGAACTGCCCTGAGCATGTGTACGTGTATTTGAGTACTCTTATCCATGCTTTTTTGTGAATTTTTTTTTATTTAAAAAAAACACTTTTTTTGTTTGTTTTTTTCCTTTATTGATTTTAGAGAGAGAGGAAGTGAGAGGGAGAGAGAGCTAGAACGATCGATGAGAGAGAACATCGATTGGCCACCTCCTGCATGCCCCCCACTGGGGATCAGGCCCACAAGCTGGGCATGTGCCCTGACCAGGAATTGAACCGGCGACCTCCTGGTGCAGGGGTTGATGCTCAACCACTGAGCCACACCGGCCGGACCCCGTCCATTCTTTATACAACAATCTGATCCAATCACGACGCCCAGCTACAGTCACTGCAGTGACTTCCCACTGCTCTTAGGACAAAGCCCAAAGTCCTGAGCATGACTTCTGAGGTGCTGGCACTCTGGCCCCACCCCACTCCTCGGCACGCCTGCCCAGCTGACTTGTTCCCTGTGTGCTGTGCTTGTCTTCAACCTCCGAGCCTCGGCAGAGGCTGCCCCCTCTTCCTGGAACACCCTCCGCTGGGTGAGAGGCGGCCGTGCTGACTGCACGTGTCTCCCAAGCCCGTGGGCTGCACTAGCCCAGCAGAGCCGCGCTGGCCCTCGGTCTCACCAACGGGCATCACAGAGCTCGTGTGGGATGAGGAAGGCCACCCGGACTGGCTGTGAAATCCCACCGAACCTGCCCAGAGACACCTTGGGGGCCTCCTGGATGTACTTCCTGTGTCTCTGAAACCGACCCTGCTGGGAAGTGTGAGTGTGGTTATGTGAACTCAGTGTCCTGGTGTCTAAGAGACGTGACAAGCTGCAGGGCCAGTCGCCTTCCCAGCTGCTGGCGTCCGGACTCCCTCTGCTCAGCACACATTCTCCACCCTGAGGTGTGGGAGGTTGTGGGCAATCGTTACTTTTCCATCGCAGCTGGTTAACCGCCCAGGGAGGGGACTCTCTGAACTCCGGCCCAGTGACCCCGCAGCCGGCCTCTAGCTCCAGGGGCGCTGGCTCAGCCCAGGGGCAGAGGCTGGGGGGGCCCCTGTGAGAACAGCAAGTTCACTGCGTGAGCCTCGTGCCTGAACCGGACAGGCTCCGCCCAGCGGTCGAGGGTGTGCTGGGTCACACGGGATGTGGACTTCTCAGGGCGGGGAAGTCCGCGCCGCCTCCTTTCATCCACCCTTTCTTTCTTTCTTTTTTTTGTTAATCCTCACCCGAGGGTGTTTTTCCACTGATTTTTAGATAGAGTGGAAGGGGAGGAGGGAAAGAGAGAGAGAGAGAAACATCGATGTGAGAGAGAGACATCGATTAGGTTGCCTCCCTCATGACTCCGACCAGGGCCGGGGATCAAACCTGCAACCCAGGTACATGATCTTTACTGAGAATCGAATCCAGCACCTTTCGGTCTACGGGCTGACACTCTAACCGCTGAGCCAAGCCGGCCAGGGTCACTCTTTCTTTTTTTAGCTTCAGTTCTGACCCTTGCTCCCTGAGTGTGTACACACTCATGTACGCACGTGTACATGCAAGAGCACACGTTGTGCACATTCCCCCGTGTACATGCATATGTACATGTCCACACCTGCACATGCACACATGTACTTGCGCACACAACGCGCGCGCGCGCGCACACACACACACACACACACACAGACGTGTGGCTCTACCATGCTCTTCTTTCCCTCTTTTCTGACCTCTAACGATAAACATCGTCTGCTGCGGCCCTCCTTCCACACAGTTCCTAACAGCCCTGCATCACTGTTCCGTCCCTCCAGGTCCTCCGTTTTTCCCACGACCACAGGAGGTTCCGTGGACGCGCCGTGAGGACAGCGCCCCCGGCAGCTCTCCGAGAGACACGTCCCCCACCCTGCCTTCTCCCCGAGGCGAGGACGACACGCACACAGATCGCGCGGGTCCGACGGCCTCCGAGGAAAGCCGTCCGTCACTTACCTCCAGGACTTTGCCGGTGATAAACTGGTGACAGGCTTCACATTTCACCCCGAAGAGCCCCTGGTAGTCCTGTTCGCAGTAAGGAGCGCCGTCCCTGCAAGGGAAAGAACGTCGGCCCAGGCAGGCCCGGGCGGGGTCTGCTTCCCTGTGCCCTGTCCACACAGTGGCGTGTTTCTCCCCCCGGCGCCCCCGCGGCTGGAGGTCTGGTCCAGACACGAGCAAACCCACGGAACCAGATGGTCCAGAGACCGTGGTGCAGCCCCCGAGCCACACAGAAACACAGATACCGAGTCTTCCTCCGCACCAGACCTCTGAGCCTGGCGTCGCTCGCTCTCCGGGCCAGTGGCTTCAGGCGTGGCTCCGTGCTCCTCTTTCCCAGGAGACCCTCCTGCTGCCTTCCCGCCCTCGGCCCCCCACGTCCCTGTGCTCACACCAGGGCCCCCGCCTTCGGAGACCGAGGGGCCAGGGCCTCCCATCCAGCCTCCTTCATTAGTGCAGCGCACGGTACAGATCCCCGGCCCCGGCCGTCGGCCACGTTACAAAGCGCCGCTCCAGACAGCCCAGCCTGTGACCTGCGGCTGCACAGCTCGGTGGGGGTCAGCGCTGAGCATCCTCTCCCTCTGGCTGCGCGCCGCTCACCTGTGGGGTCCTCCCGGGGTACTGCTTCCCCCCAGACAGAATTCCATTTTGGGAAGGTGGGGCCCAAACAACGTTTTGTTTGTTTGGCTATATTCTTAAGTGAAATTCATTTCATTTCTCTGAATAGCTGGTACATTTGTCTGGTTGGAGGACATTTCGTAAAGTGTGATGAAGGTGTATATATAGAGGACGTGTCCCTCATTGCCGCGGCCCCTGCCACCCCCCCCCCCCCCCGCTCATCCTTTCTCCCTCAGTGCAAAAGGTGACCTCTGTAAGGATTCCTCCGGGCTCCGTAAACACACAACAAACAAGAAAACGCACTTCACCTGCTCTAGCGATTACCCACCCAGCCGCTGACTCCAAAGCACACCCGTTCCCTGGTGAGCTGTTCTGCCGTTGGGCCTCATGGGCTCAGTGCCTAGACCCTGTGTTTTTTTTGGTGAAGGTGGAGGTTGGGGGGCGGGATCTACAAATATGTTAAAGACCTGGAAGGAAGACAAAGTTTGCTAGTGCCAAATTGGGGGGGGGGGGGGAGAATTAGTGAAGGTAAAATTACTGAATGCTTCATTAGTTACAACATATTACATCAACTTTGTTAATTATTAAATTAGGCAATAATTAACATCTCATTACATGTATAGTAGGCAAACTATGGCAAATGCAGAAGAGTAAAATTCCTTGCATGAGCTTTCTAGCCAAAAGCGCCTACGGATTGTGGGGTATGCGGGTCTTTCATTGTGTCCGAGGGGTCACTTACTTGCTGATGTACTCGCCGGTGAGGACCTTCCCGCAGGACTTGCATTTGAAGCAGCCCAAGTGCCACTGCTTCTCCAGCGCCAGCAGCGCCTGCCCGTTCTTGATCTCTCTCCCGCAGCCTGCACAGTCTGCAAACAAGCAGCAGCCAGCAGTTACCCCACATTTGTTGCGCTCAATTCCAGCCCTCGGGCCTGCTCTGGACCCCTGTGTGCCCCACCACACTCTCGATCAGTATTTACTTAAACACCATCTCATGCTGCGCCCTCTCCCTGCCCGAGGTCTCCCCACGCAGCACGGAACCTCAGGAACCACCGTGGATCGGGGGGACGGATGTCCTCCATCCGTTTATTTCCTTGCAGGTTATTTCACCCCCCTGAGCTCCAGCTGGCCTGGAGAATATTTAATTACGGTGTCTTGGCCGTGACTTTCGGAAAGCTCCCTGAGGACACATGCGAGCACCTCAGGCTGGATGCCCCGCCCAGCGCGCTACCCGATTCCTGAGATGCTGCTCATGAGGCTCATTTCTGTAAACAGGACTGTCCTGCCTTATCAACCCAAGCCAGATCTCCCAAGATCTGTCCTCATCAATTACATGGCTCTTAATTCCTCAGCTGTAAATTCTCCTCGGCAGACTCCTGTGAAGCAGATAAAGGAGAAGGTGTCTCTTCGTGGTAAAGAGTGTGGGCCCTGGAATGAGCTGGTTCTGGGCCCAGATCAATGCCTGGTAGTCACGTGATCCGAGCCAGCTCCCATGTGGAAGCCGGGATGCTGTGGGTGCTTTTCTCCAGCCTCCGAGGAGGAGTCAACAAAGTAATGGATTTGGCACAGTGGTTGGCATGTAGGAAGTGGCTCTATAAACATCTGCTCTTATTATAATTCCCAGTATTGTTCTGATCATTAAATCATTTTCAGGAAAGTTGAGTCTTTAAAAGATCCCAGAAGAACGTGAATTGGTGCAGCCTTTTTAGAAGCAACTTAAACATCTATAAACATTTAAAACCAATGTACCCGAGAAAGTAAAAGAAAGCAGTCAGCAGGCTGGCCACGATGTCCCCACGTGGTCATAAAGAGCACTCACAGACTAAAGCGATGTCCAGACACAGCACACAGATGGTTAAACACCCTCCTCTGACCAAAGCCACGATGGCTGCTCACTTACTAACGACACTGGACACCCACTTCAATGCTCTCCTGGAAAACGCAAGATGCCCCATCACTGACCCTGCTTCTTGACAACGCCCAACCCAGAACGGCTCCCGCTCCCTGGAACCCGCCCTAAAATTACCCAGCACAAGCCCAAATCTTATAAAAGTTCCTCCAATTCCTCTGGCTGTCTCCCTTGCTGTAGTTTCAGTAAACCTGACTTCTTTCTTTCTTTCTTTCTTTCTTTCTTTCTTTCTTTCTTTCTTTCTTTCTTTCTTTCTTTCTTTCTTTCTTTCTTTCTTTCTTTTTTACTACAGATGTTTCTTCTGATCTCTGGTCAGTGGGTATCAACATGCCTTTAGACCCAGCAATTTCAGGTCTAAGATTCCATTCTACAAATTTGCAAAAGTGTGTGTGTGTGTGTGTGTGTTCCCTGTAAGCACAAAACCAAAGACATACAGACATTAACAGGGGACCAGGAAATTAATTACAATGTAGTCAATAATGGAATACGATGTGCTGTTAAAAATAATGAGGTAGATTTGTTTGTGGGCATGGAAAGATGTCCAAAATGGAAAACAAGCTGTAGAACAGTACGCATAGCATACGCTCATTAACAAAAAAATTTAAACAATTTAAAAAAGGTGAGGGCTGGGTGTGTATGTGTTTGCACACACGCTTGTATATGAGGAGTACATTTCTTTTAAAAAAAAAAAGAACTCTTAAGACACTTCCCTCTGTGAAGGACTTTACTTTTTACATCACAACCTCTGTTAATTTTCTTTTTCTGCCATGAGAATGTAAAAAAATTTCAGTACATACATTTTTATAGTTAAAAACATACCTCCTATATGTTTAAATATTTCAGATTGGAATTTCTTTATGTATAGCTCATTATAAGCTGAGTGTGTATCATGTGGTCACAAAGAATTACATATTGTTTTAAATGCCAAAAATCTTACAAAGGGGAGGAGGGGCTCACCTTTAGTAGTTTACTATAAAGATAAAAACGGAAAACCATAATATGTGTTCATAAATACACTTTTCAAGGGTTAGGAACATAGTATGTACCTAAAATGAATTGATAGTTTTTAATCCAAGCCAAACTCAATTTTTTCCTTCGTTCCTCTGATTAGAGCATGCCCACTAGGTGGCAGTAAAGATTTAAAATAATAACAAAGACCCTGGATAAAAAATTTTAAGGTAGAAAATAAACTTTAGAGATGGCTTTTCAATCCCACAGCCAAAGACAGTTGGGCGCGGAGCGGTCGGCACAGCTGTTCGAGGTCCCCTGCTGCACAGAGGGAGGTCTGGGAGCGGGAACACGTGGATGGTCAGCACGTGGGCTGTGGAATCAGGAAGAGCTGGACACGAACTCGGGTCAGTTTCCGTCTGAAACTTCGTCTGTGAAATGCGGACCTACTTCCTAGACTGCTCTAAGAGGAAAGACCCTCAGAGCTCTTGGCACAGGCTGCCGGTCAGTGTGGCTCCCCTTTCCCTGGGAAGGGCAGAGCTGAGCTAAAACCAGCTTTCTTGCCGCTCAGCCCTGCTCTCTTTACAAGCACGTGCATGCCCGGGTTTCCCAGAGCTCTGACGGCGACCTCTCCGTCCAGTCTGCTCCGAGGGCTCCCGATGACCCCGGCACCGTGGGAGGGCTTTCCAGACATGGTACCGTTGATTCTCACAGTCATTTAGTCAAATGGCCTGGCCGTCTGGAAGCTTCTGCCTCACGGGTCCTTCACGCCCTGCGTGTCCCACGGAGGGCAGACGCTCTGCAACTGATTCTGATGATGGTTTGCAGAGGAGTCTTCACTGAACGCTGAATGCCTGGAGCCAGCCAGCGGGCGAGGCTGGGCTGGAAAAAGGCTGTGATGAGCCTCTGCCTCCCAAACCCGAAGACATAAATTAGGCAAATCAGCACAGACCTCCTGGGAAGCAGAATACTGGCCAACATCAGCTGATGCCAAGTACTCTGGTGTCTTTCATAACAGCTACCAGTTCATTCCCCTCTGGGTAAAACGGCATCCTCCCGGAAGCCTGCCATGCTGGGGGAAGCGGAAAAAGCCGGGGAGACCGACAGATTCGTGCTGGATTGTTCGCCCCGTCCACGCTCATCCCAGCTAAGCTCCTTTCTACAGAACAACACGTCCTGCTCTCATCTTCGTGCTTTTCAGCTGTTGAGAAAATTGTTTCCACATCACTGCAGCAGCTGCTGGTAAATATAGAACGCTGGTGATCGGCACTGGAATTATTGCCAAAGTCAGGAATAGGTGAGTGCGGGCCCGCGTCAAGGAACTCAAACCCGCCTGCAACTCACCGGTGTTCTGTCAAGGGCAAATAATCACCGAACGTGAGAAAAGAGAAAACCCACAGCCTTAAACCCTTCACTGACAGCCTTTCATTCTCGCCAGCAGCAGCCAAGAGAAAAGCAGGGATTCGGCTGCTCACGGCCAAGGGAAGCCAGCATCCAAGCCCACACCTGGTTCCATATTTACACCACGTTGTTCAAAGGCAATAAACATCCCCGATAGCAGGGATCCTGCCTGTCTCTGATCTCCTCTAACAGGGCTGTTATTTTTTTTTGCACAGGGCCATGGACACCTGGGCTTCAAAAGTATTCACATCGAAGAAAGTGACAAGTGGCCCTCAGAGAGAAATCAGTGTCCCCAAGAAAGATGTCATCGGCTGGGCAGCATTGAAGGTCCTTCAGCCTGAATGCCTATGTTCTCCTTGGGAACCATTTCTGCCTTCCTAGAATTTCCCATTTGGGAAGAGTCGGGGCCAAGGGATGTCTCGAAGCTGCCTCTCTAGAGAAGAGAGCAGAGGATGTGGAGCTACAGACACATGGTTACCAAGTGACCTTCCCAGGCCCGCATGCTTCAGTCCTTCCTGGAACCGTGGATGAAGGTGGAAACCACCATTCAGAGTAGCTACCTGGCTGGGATCAAAGCTCCCAGAATGTGGAATGAGACTTTTCCTAGTGTCCTAGAATCTTTGGCTATGGTCTTAGGGCTGGAGATGGTGATAAGTACTCCACCTTCCAAAGAAGGGTGCTGGGAATAACCCTGCCAGACTTACCAAGGTAGCAGGATCCACCTGATCACTCTCAACTGCTGTTGCCCACCTGCCTAGGAAATCCGAAGAGGTACAGAGGAGAGAGCAGGGGGCTGTCCACACAGCAGCAGTGGGGTGTTCCCTCCCTCTGCTTGAAGGGATCCGAGGACCCGGAGAAGGGGAGGGAGGCCTGCTGCCTCCTCCCTAGGTGTGTACTAAGTGGGGGCGCTCAGGCTCTCGGGCTGCTCAGGGATCCCAGAGAAGCTCGGTGTTAGATCCTTGGGACAAATGAACAGGAATGTTCCGGGGCGTGGACACATTTCTGGACAGAAAGTCTGGAGCCTGCTGAATCTGAAGATCTGAAGGCAGGAGGCTGCCGGAGCCCTCTTGCGGGCGGGCTCAGCGGGAGACAGCGTGGGAGCGGTGAGCTCCCGCTGTTCGCCTCACTGGGGGCGCACGTGCGTCCTGAGGCTGGTACCCACGCCCAGGCACCCCGCATGAACACCTGAGAAAGGCGAGGGGCGGACTTCGTTAGGGAGTGACAATGAGACCAGGAGGGAGCAGGGCCTGAGGCTGAGGAGGGTGCAGGGATTTGCTACAACAGGGTAGGCAGAGGAAGTCAAAACACACACCCCTAAAAACGTGTCCAGCCAGTGTTAGCGCAAAGAGAAGACTGCCGATGCTAGCGCTACCTCTTTTCCCTTCCCCCTCGGACCCCCGCCCCTGGCCTGGACCCCAGAGGGCCACAGGCAGGATAGGAAGGGGGAAAGAAGAGGCTGTGCCCCCTTCTCGTTGCAGGACTCAGCTTGGGTTGGGCTGAGCTGGGGAAGAGCGCAAAGCTGAACCAGACGAGAGAACCAAGTTTTCAACCAGACTGGACTTGAGGAGCTACAAGTACCCAGGAAGCTAGGGGACCCCCCGAAGATGTTGC